ACTTGCCTAAAAGTAGTGCATATTTGGTGCATCAGAGAGTTTGACATTAGGTCGATTAGGAAACCTTTCCTTTCGAAGGTTTATCCAAACCAAATCTCCTTCTTTATACACAACCTTCTTTTGGTGCTTGTCATGATGAGCCTTATACCTAATGGTTTGACGTTGTAGCTTCTCACGAACTTCTTCATGAAGTTTCTTGATCTCCTTAGCTCGTTGTTCAGCATCTGCACTAAATTGTCGAGATGTGGGCAATGGAGCAAGATCTAAAGGACTGAGAGGACGCACTCCATATACAACTTCAAATGGGCATTTTCCCGTAGCTTGATTCGAACAGTTGTTGTAGGCAAACTCAACTTGGGCAAGCACAAGATCCCATTGTCGCAAATTTTTTCCCACAAAACTTCGTAATAGATTCCCCAAAATCTTATTGATAGCTTCAGTTTGCCCATCGGTTTGGGGATGGCTAGCAGAACTAAACTGGAGTTGAGTGCCCATCTTTCTCCATAAAGTCCTCCAAAAATGACTCATGAACTTCACATCTCTATCTGAAGTGATGGTCTTTGGAACTCCATGTAGACGCACAATCTCTCTAAAATATAACTCAACAATGAGAGAAGCATCATTAGTTTTCTGACAAGCAATAAAGTGAGCCATTTTAGAAAATCTGTCAACCACGACCATGATAGAATCCTTGCTTCGTTGAGTTCGTGGTAGACCAAGGACAAAATCCATACTAACATCTTCCCAAGGTGATGTTGGGATAGGCAATGGCAGATACAACCCTGTGTTCTGATTGATTGTCTTGGCTTGGTGACAAACTTTGCATCTTTGAATGTGACGAATGACATTCTGCTCCAACTTTGGCTAGTAAAAGCTTTCTTTAACAAGAGCTAAAGTCTTGTCTCTCCCAAAATGACTAGCTAATCCACCATTATGTGCTTCCCAGATAATTGAATCTCGGAGTGAGCAACGTGGAACACATAGTCGGTTACCCTTGAAGAGGTAATCTTGCTGGCGATGATATTGCTGAAAGGCTTGATTAGAAGTGGCTTGCTAAATGTTGCTAAAATCAGGATCATCCTCATACAACTCCTTGATCACTTCAAATCCAGTGACTTTCATCTGTAAGGAAGTAAGCAAGGCATGTCGGCGACTCAGAGCATCAGCTACACGATTCTAGACTCCAGATTTGTATTTGAGGAGGAAAGGATAAGCTTGTAGAAATTCACTCCAAGTAGCATGTCGACGACTGATCTTCTGTTGAGAATTCAGGTGCTTCAATGCCTCATGGTCAGAGTGCAAGATGAATTCTTTGGAAAGAAGATAATGACTCCAATGCTCCAAGGCTCGAACAATTGCATAGAATTCCTTGTCATAGGTGGAATATCTAAGCCTTGTGTCATTCAACTTTTCACTGAAGAAGGCAATGGGTCGACCTTCTTGACTTAACACTGCACCAATTCAAACATTAGAAGCATCACAATCTACTTCAAACATCAGGTCAAAGTTGGGAAGTGCAAGTACAGAGGTTTCAGTGAGCTTCTTCTTTAATTCTTCAAAACTCTGTTGGGCTTTGCTACTCCATGAAAATTTGTCACCCTTAAGGCTGTCAGTGATTGGGGCAACAATAGAACTAAAATTCTTGATGAATCTCCGGTAAAAAGATGTCAGGCCATGGAAGCTTCGAACATCATGCATCAATGTTGGTGTAGGCCAGTTGACAATAGCATCAATCTTACTGGGGTCCATCTTGATACCTTGAGCAGTGATGATGTATCCAAGAAATGTCACACTT